AGTGAACGGATCACGAGTACTGATCAATTATGGGATTATCAGCTGATGCCAATCTCTGGCCAATTGATTGAAACATAGTAGCACAATAAAACATATTTTAGAGTACATGGGAAATGATTAATGATAAAGAGTACTTTTATTTTTATTTCTATATAAATATACAGGTTTATGTGCAAATTATTTTAAAAAGTTGCCAAGGCAGCATTTCTAAATTTTATATTATTTAAATATTATTTTATGTGGTTGATCTTATCCTTTGTTGTGTTAATTTAATATATGATAAGTAAAAGACATTTTACATCTCTATCCTTTTATGAAAACAATGTTAAACAATAAAGAGAAATAATTGTTAGATTTTTAAAGTAATAAAGTAGAGGATTTATAATACAAACTTATCCAAGCACCGTCAAAACTGAATAAAAAGCTGTGTCGCATGCTTCATGTTCATCAGAAGATGATCCTCCAAATTGAGTAGAATTCTGAAAATCATAAAATTAATAAGAAATTATGAATGTTAAAGTCAAAAGCTGAAAGACTGACATTTGAACAATTCTGAGAAATTGAGTTGTTAATTAAAATGTATCAAATTTTTTATCCATTTCTTTGGCAAACAATAAATAAAAAGACCTACAAATTGTATTTTGAAACATTATATGTCATTTTAGTATTATTGATTATTTTACATTGTTTATTATTTTTTAATTAATAGTTGAAATATTTTTTATAATTTTATATGTTCATTTTATTTTAATTACTTAAATATTATCTATTTTATGTTCTGTTTATCACTACATCAAGTTAAACTAGTTAAAAATTAGGAATAAATATTTTCTTTTAGATATTTATGTTTCTGCCAGATCATACCGCTGTGGCAACCCCTGCTTAATAAAGGGACTAAGCCGAAAAGAAAATTAATGACTGAATTTAATTTTCTATCTGTTAACATTATATTTTAAGTAACACAAATGAGTGTTCTTTTTATAAATAGTATAAATAGTTTGAATTATTTTTGAATAATTTCCAATTTTTTCCCCCCTTATTTTTAATACATAGATGTGACTAAAAAGAGAAATATTTTCCTTGAAACTTTGTGAACTACATTATGGAATAAGTAGACCCATTAAAAAGTTCAGTTTCATTTACTGTTTATGGTTTTGCATTTGAGATTTTTGTTTTATTGTTTAAACTGATAATTCTTCCCATGTAAAAAAAAAAAATCATTATTAGATCATCGGAATAGTTACAAAATCAATGTTAGTTTGGATAACTTTGGATAACTAAGTTATTACTCACAACAAATGAAAACGTTTGTTATTATGACCAACTGTCATTTTCTATAAAGGCACCTATAATGGCCCTTTTTACAATATGAAAAATTAAACTTTAATGTCCCTAGATTGTGTATGTGAGGTTTCAGCTCAAAATACTCCACATTTTTAATTAACTCTTTGATCATATCCCTTTTAGGCTTTGTCCTAAACTTATCCAAATTGTGCAATTTTGGTGACTGTTGTTTTAAATTCAAATGAGATTGTGCTCTTTTCAAAAGAAAACAGAGCTACAAATGCCAACATGTCAGCGTCGATTCAAAATAGGACACACATTATGTCTGTGAAAAACGGAAAATGTCAGAAAAAGCAGCTCAGAAGAAGGAAGTCTATGGAGACTAAAGTGTTTCTGGATCCAAAAACTCCACATTTATAATGCCTCTAAGTCGCAGCCATTATCTTTGGTGGGTAGGGTGTGAAAACTCTAATAGTGGACTGCTGCTTCCCACCAGTGGTTGAAAGAGTACTGAAAAATCAGACTTAAGTAAATGTACCATTACTTGCCTAAAAAAGTAGTGCAAGTAGAGTAAAAGTATCTGTTTTCAATTTTACTCAAAGTATGAGTAAAAGTAGCCCTTTTAAAAGTACTCAAGAGTAGTTAGTAACAAGTCATACACTGTAAAAAGTTAATGTGTTTACATGTAATTTGTGGATGTGTGTAAATGTTCTGCAGTGCATTTAGTTATTGCCCAGCTGGCACATAACATCATAAGACGTTAATATTAGGTTAGATTTAGGTTGTGACGTCAGGTGACCAAAATTTAATGTCTAGTCAGTGGACGTTTTTTTGATGTCTAATAATGACGTCAAATGATGTTGATATTTGGTTGATTTTTGGTTATGTTAGAAAGTGACCAAAATCCAACGTCGAGCCAACATCTTAAACCAACGTCATATTGATGTCAAATACTGACATTTATTCGTCAGGTATGGCAACCAAAATCCAACATCTGATAGACGTCGGAGTGATAATGTTCACACAACAACATCAAGCTGTAACAAGCTGTACCCGCATAATGTTGGGGTAAAATGTCAATCAGGGGTCTGTTTCGTACCTCACTTAAATGATCTAAGATGATTTGGCAGATCCTGGATCTGTTTGTCTTGATAACTGATCTCTGGCTAATTTGGTTCTTCAAACAAGTTTGCGAATCAGATTAAAACGTCTGGATGAACTGATCTGAGATTGATGGGTGTGTTGTGACGAACAGATCTATCGATCCTTGAAATCGTATTCAACAGTGCAACGACTGGCTAACGGCACAGCAGCGTAATGACATCATCTGATTAATATTCAATTAGTCTTTTACTTTTATTTCGGAGTGCAGATTTGCATAAGTTTTATTAATAATTTTTTTTTTACTTTATATATATATATATATATATATATATATATATATATATATATATATCGTCAATATCCAAATCCAGCTAATTGAGTAATGTATGAAGAATAGACCCCTGATGTCATGTTGACGTCTTGTGTCTGCTGCGTGTTTAAGGCCATTTCAGTCATCAAACAGTAAACATCTATCAACTTCTCATCAGTGACATGCATCTATTCTAAACAGTCTCTGGGTCAATGCATGTAAAGATTTAGGTCATCTTATTGGACACTTTTAATGTTTCCAAACAGCTTTCTGCAATTATAAATCACCCGTGTATTGAGGTAGTTCATTTTTTTATTGGACAGGAATCACAGGACTGAGTTTTCTAATCCCTATAAACAAGAAAAAATAAAGTATTGACGCCAGGTTAAAGGAAAGTAGCAGAGTAAAAGTACAGATACAACACTGAAATCTTTAAAACTACTTGGTAAATTACAATTCCTGAGAAAAACTACTCAACTACAGTAAGTGGAGTATTTGTAATTTGTTACTTTACACCACTGCTTCTCATTCAGAGAGTGATCGATAGAGTGTATGGGTGTTTCCCAGTACTGGGTTGCCACTGAAAGGGCATTCGCTGTGTAAAACATTAATTAATTATAACATATAAAAACAATAAATTACAATATTTTAATTTTTGTATTTTTATTATATATAATCAAACCTTGATAGAATCATACAAATATAACAATTAAATTCAAACCCATAACTAGGCACACAGAACCTGCGCGACAGAATTCCGCGGATTTTCCAAAGATCTTCCACAGATTTTCCGCAGATTTTTAGCCCATCATTAATTCTGTTTATTTTCTTGAGTAAATGTGTGTAAATGTATAAAAATATATGAAAATGTTCATTTGAATTATGTACAATGCAGTTTGTACAGTAATATTTTCTTTCTTTTAGTAGAGAAATATGATAATGAGAGACTTGCTTTGTTTACCAAATAAAGTGAATCTTTTGGAAGTGCATTTTAAACATTAAATAAAAGTTAAAAAGAGATTATTTTTAATTTCACAAATTAAGGTTTTCGTTATGATACTCCCAAAATAATTCAGCAGAAATCCGCAGATTTTTAGCAAAATTCTCAGCAGAAATAGCAAAAAACGTCCGCAGATTCCGTCTGGCCCTACCCATATCTAATAAATCCAGTATATTCAGAGAATCAGATCATTTTAATGAAGGAAAAGGGATTTTAAGGAAGATGACAAAATAATAATACTAGCTGGAAGGGCATGCACTGCATAAAACCTATGCTGGATAAGTTGGCGGTTCATTCCACTGTGGCAGCCCCCGATTAATAAAGGGACTAATAAGCCGGAAAGAAATAAATATATAATAATAATAATAAATGAATGAATAATACTATTACGATGTACAAATGAAACATTTGTATTTTATTTCATTTAACGGTAAAGTATGTGGTTGTAGTTTTATGTTTTTACTTTTAGTCAGCTATAATAGCCTTACATGAACAGCAGGCCATGCAACATTGACTCTTTTACACTTGAAAAAATGAAAAAAAAAATTATATATATATATATATATATATATATATATATATATATATATATATATATATATCATGAATAAGCTAATAATTAATCACGTAAAATATAGTGACTACCAGCACCTGCCCCCTAAATGATAGTACTAAATATACAACGCATTGAACAATATGACGAGTTTCCTAACCCCGCAGGGCCTCAAAACTGCAGCTTCATCATCTTCATCATCAGTGAGTGTGGAGTAAAAGCGCAGAATCGCTGCATGGCGCAGTGCTCAGTGCAGTCACGCGGGGTCGCCGCAGTCTGCAGATGCTGGAGTTCAAACTCTCAATACAGCACACATGCGGGACTCAAAACAAGAGCAGCCAGGGACAGTCCAAAATCACTCCATTTGGACCAAAAAGTGACGATTTTGGAAACCATTCAAGCTTGATATTTGCACTGCAACGTTCATACCGAAGCACGCTCATAATAACAAGCCCACAGCAGTACAGATGCACACAGTATGCAGATCTGAAGTTGCGCTAAACAAATATGCAACATTTTTTATTTATTTAACAATTTTTAATGATTTGTTTACGTTATGACGACTTGTAGGCTAAATATGAATAATAAGTATAATTAATGGTCATACAAATACTTCACTTATATGTCTTAATTCCATACAACTTACTACAAAACAGGCTCATTAAAAGACGTGTTTTAATTGTTTTTACAAACTGAACCAAACAAATAGTTGTGGGTGTGCGGATGTGTTTAGAGTCGGAGAGGCTCACCGCGCTCTATGTGCAGTCTGGCGGTCTGCAGCTGCTGCTCGGTGGCGATCTCTCCGATCACAATGAGCATGTAGAAGTCTCCGGACCGGACTGTCTGTTCGGGCTGCGGCTGCTCGCGGTGCTCGTCGTCCTCCGCCGCCGCCACCAGCGAGCCCCGGGGCGGGCTCTCCGCGGGCACTGCCCCTCGCACAGACGAAGGGCCTGCGCTCATCTCCATGACAACTGCTGCCAGCTGCGCCGACCGCACAGTTAAGGCGAGCAGCGCGGAGGAAACTCGCTGTTTACCTCAGTCTGATTGGCCGAACAGCACGCAGCTTTGTGATCTCAAGACGCAAACACGACAGGACATGGGTGTTTATGTTAATGTAGAGTTCATTCCAATTGCAAAGGTGTAGTAAATCTATCTATCTATCTATCTATCTATCTATCTATCTATCTATCTATCTATCTATCTATCTATCTATCTATCTATCTATCTATCTATCTATCTATCTATCTATCTATCTATCTATCTATCTATCTATCTATCTATCTATCTATCTATCTATCTATCTATCTATCTATCCATGTATCCATGCATTCATCCATCCATCCACCTGTCTGTCTGTCTAATCTATTTCCACATAGAATGTATTTTATTGTTTCTAAATTACACTGTTGTCATTAGTTATTATTATTTAATAACAATAAGTTATAACAGATAAATATATTTTACAATACGTAATTATACATTTTATTAGTAGCAGTCATAATAGCCAATTATAACACTATATTTTATTGTTACAGTTTTTTTCAGTCGCTTTGGTGCATTTCTCTTAACACTATTTACATTTGCACAACAGTTAATGCATTTCTCAAAACAATTAGTACAAACTGCAAAACCTATTTGATAACCTGCAAAAGCGCGTCACTTCAGCTCTTCACTCAAAAGCAAGTATTGATGTCAATGAAAGTGTCAGTGTCATCAAGATGAGAAATCCTGACACCATTGTTTATGAACAAGATAGTCAAATGGCTTTGTCATGTTTTCATTATGTGTTTACTCTGTGGCGAAGCAGTGGCGCAATATGTAGTGCTATCGCCTCACAGCAAGAAGGTTGCTGGTTCGAGCCAGGGCTCATTGGTGTTTCTGTGTGGAGTTCTCCCTGTGTTCGCGTGGGTTTTCTCCTGGTGTTCTGGTTTCCCCCACAGTCCAAAGACATGCAGTACAGGTGAAGTGGGTAGGCTAAATTGTCTGTAGTGTATAAGTGTAAATGTGTGTGTGGATGTTTCCCAGAGATGGGTTGCAGCTGGAAGAACATCCGCTGTGTAAAAACTTGCAGGATAAGTTGGCGGTTCATTCCGATGTGACGACCCCGGAATAATAAAGGGACTAAGCCGACAAGACAATGAATGAATGAGTTTACTCTGTACATTTTTTACCATTGCAAAAAAAGTCCTGAAAATGCTCAAGACAGCACTATATACTATTTGCACAGCCATTTGAGATGTACAGTAAAGTTAGCCATCACTGCATTTACAGTTTTTCTCAGTCACTTTGGTGCATTTCTCACAGCACTATTTACATTTGCACAACAGTTAATGCATTTCTTGAAGCAATTAGTCTTTTGTGCACATCACAGTAGCAGTTTAAGGAAGTGTCAACATAATCTGACTTTTTTTGCATTGAAAACGTGTACAGAGTAAACTGTCATAATGAAAACAGGACAAAGCCATTTGCCATTTGTTCATAAACAATGGTGTCAGGACTTTTCATCTTGATGACACTGACACTTTCATCGACATCAATACTTGTTTTTGAGTAATGAGTTATCCATTTTGAGCAAGTGACGCGCTTTTGCAGGTCATCATCTAGGTTTTGCAGTTTTTACTAATTGTTTTGAGAAATGCATTAACTGTTGTGCAAATGTAAATAGTGTTGTGAGAAGTGCACCAAAGCCACTGAGAAAAACTCTAACATTTGTAGGCCAACGATGTGTAAAAGGTAATCAATATAAGAATGACTGACCTGATCTAATAATCCTTTGAGATTTTTACAAATGAATAAACATAGAAAAAATAAATAAACAGACAGACAGACAAAGAGACAAATGAATAAGCAGTCCAAGTGAAGCAGTCGAGTAGAATGGATCTGAATGAGGCCTCTGCACATCCATTCCATTGAACATGACTTCAAAGGAAATGATTTAAAGCAGAGAGAAAAATGAGACAGGGAGATTGGAATAAATAAATAAGTAAGCGTTTGGGGTTTCCTCTGCATCCGAGTTAACATGCAAAAGCAGCTGTCTGTCTGTACAGGTCTGCGTTTTGCAGCGAGTCAGCAGTGCTTTAGTCTAATAGAAACAGACCCACACCACCCTCTGCTGGACAACAGCAGGACTCACTTTTCCAAAAAAAAAAAAACTTGTAAATAACAAGACTTTTTTTAAGAGTATTTATTGTTTGCCATTTATTCAATTCATCTTTATTTCTATAGCACTTTTACAATGTAGATGGTGTCAAAAGCAGCTTAACATAGTAGTTCTAGTAAATTGAAACTGTGTCAGTCCAGTTTTCAGAGTTGAAGTTCAGTTTAGTTCAGTTCAGGCGGGTTTAATTTTCACTGCTAAAATCCAAACACTGAAGCACAAATCCATCGATGCGCAGCTCTACAAGTCCCAAACCAAGCAAGCCAGTGGCAACAGTGGTGAGGAACAAACTTCACCAATTGATGAAAGTGAAGGGAAAAAAAGTTATAGTTCACCACAAAATAAAAAAGGTTGTCATTATTTACTCTCCCCTTTTCTTGTCGAAACCTGTTTCTTTGTTCTATTGAACACAAAAGAAGATATTTTTGAAAAATGTTGGAAACCAGTAACTATTGACATCAGTAGTATTTGTTTTTTCTTACTATGAATGTCAACAGTTTCTGATTTCCAACATTCGTCAGTATATCTACTTTTGTATTTAATGGAAGAAAGAAACTCATAAAGGTATGGAACTACTTGAGGGTAAGGCTTGCATGATATAGTTTCAATAACAATGCAAAAAATGCATTTCTTACTTTGCTTTGTCTTATTTCTAGTCCAAATATCTAAAAATTCTAGATTAAGTTAAAATATTGTATTATTTTCGCCTTAATAATTCAAAATTTTGAGTTTTTCTGTAAAACAAGCAAATTGATCTGCCATTAGGGTTAGTAAAATAATCTTGTTTTCGACTTTAAACATGCATATCTTGCGATGTGACTATTGCAGATGTGCACATTGCAATATATTTTGTATCCCTACTTGAGCATGAGTAATTGCAGAGCAAATTTTCATTTTTGGGTGAACCATCCTTTTAACAGCGATCTTACATATGAAATGTCATTCTACTTAAACAGCATATTAATTACAATATGCATGCTTTTAACAAAGACATATGTCAACAATATGGCAACCTCATGCGACTAATTGTCTGAATCTTCATCTCGTCAGCACTGCTGGGACTTCAATCCAGTCAAAAAAATGTGCATGTGATAACTTTGAGATTCATTTTTTTATAATTAGTTTTTTTCTATCTATAACATACATTTTAATAGTTTTTTTTTTTGTTACACTTCATGTATTTGTGTAGATGTCAATTAAAATGCATTTTTTTAAAAAGCTGTTTTCTCAAAATAAGCTTTTTCTCTTTGAGCCACAAATCTCCAAACTTCATTTTTATTGATATCTGCATTCTGTCTTGTTTCTTTATTTACAGAGCAATTTGTTCATACATAATTTACTAGATTATATACATTTTATTATATTCTTTAAAAATCTGTCTGTTCAGGCTGTTGTGTAGAATAAGAATAATTTCCCATCTGTAAAAAGTGGCGGAAATCTGTAAACTTTGACTCTTCTATGCCAAAAAAATATCTGAACCTGTTTGAACACACTCTTCATGCCAGAAAAATAAGATCAAGCCCTGGACACCAGATTCCTTGAGAAAATGTCTGGGTATCTGGACAACAAGTCAGCGGAGCCGCCCAATACCCATGGTAACCAGTATTCAACTGAATTAACAATCTCTATCAACATAGGAGTTGACTGAGAAAGCTAGAGAGGAGCAGAAGCATGAGATGAAAGAGCAGAGTTTATTGAATAATCTTTGGTGTGTTTGATTCAATACACCATAAATCCAACAAGTGTTATTACACCACAAGCTGCAGGAATGGAAAATTACTGCTCCACAACATTGTGACAATACAGATCTTAAAATGGAGACATTCTCTTATTTCTTACTCACGAAAACAAGTGTCGCTCGAATCCACAAGAGCAATAGTTAGTTATAAAAGCAATAATTATTGAAAAATGGTAATAATAAAATATAAAACAATCAAATGACTAATAATAATCAATAATAATAATCAAAGCATTAAGTAAAAGTCAATAAATGATATAATGATCATTATATAAATGACTAATCATCATATGATTAAGTAAAATAATAAATGAAGAATAAATGAATATAAACAACTGAAAATAAAACACATCACAAGTTTGCTACAAGGATTCTCAGACTCCTTAGTTAGATTCTTCAAACCTGACTTCATCCAATGTTCAGATTTCTGTGTTATAAATCCTTTGCTCAAAAAAAAATATAAAAATCTGTAATTTGCATATTTTGATCTTTGCAGAATATTTGTAATACAGATAAAATGCTCACAATTCTTCATCTATAGTCAATTGGAGAAGTACAGTGAGAAGTACTTGTTATTCATTTTCCTCTTCTTAACCTGCAGTGCCTTTTTGACTGATGAGTCCAGCATGTTGCTGTCTGAGCTGCTGAGCCGAGGAGCTGAAATGGATCTGGTGGGGTTTTTTCTTCTTCCCATAAGCTGGAGAGCAAATACCTCTGAAATCCAGACGGCAGGTAGGATGACACTGCGGCACTGCTGTCTGATCCATCAGCTGATGCAGGTATTTTTAGCCACTTGAAAAGCTCATCCAGAATGTAAGAAGAAAATTAGCAAAGTAAGTCATCTGAAAGTAGTGCTTGAATCTCAAAACTTGAACCTTCACATCAGTGAAATGAAAAAGTGCAAACATTGCTCTAAATTAATTAAATTATACAGCTGAATCATTTTTATCTGTTTTTTTTTAATTAACTAGTTTTTATTTAATTAATTTCATATTTATTATATTTTTACATAAAATATATTTAACAATTAAATGTCTTGATTTTTATACATATATCATATTTTATTGTAAAACTGTATTGAAAATAATATTTTTAACCTTAAATAATAAAATGTTCAATTAATAAATAACACTCAGCCTATATTTATATATAAATATGTCTTAATTTAGTTTTTAGTATTTTTAGAATTTCTTACATTTTAAATATATTTAATATTATATGCATATTGTTTTAAATAAACATGTTAAATTAATATATGATTATATTTTAGTATATAAAGATTTAATACATTTTATTATATTCAACATCATGTGTTTCATATTTTATTGTGTTACATTAAAATATTCAATTAGTAACTATGAACTCAACCTAAACACATTTCTTAATAGATTGTTTAGTGTTTTGTTAAAATATATTCATATAAAAATATAAATAAAAACATTGTTTTTAAATAAACATTACATTCATCCATCATTTAAAAATCTAGCTACAACCCCAAATCAGAAAAAAATTGGGAGAGTATAGAAAACACAAAATAAAAAAAGAAAGTAGTGATTTCTAAATTTACTTTGACCTGTACTTTATTGCAGACAATACAACAAACATTGTTTAATGTGTTCCTCATGATTTTTATTTTATTTTATTAATTTTTTTGTTTTGTTTTTTAAATAAACACATATTCCAATTTTGGTTGTTGCAACACATTTCAAATAAAGTTGGAACAGTAAAGCATTTACTACTTTGTAATGTTGCCATTCTTTTTCACAACACTTAAAAGACAATTAGAGACTGAAGACACCAAGTGATAAAGTGTTTCAGGTGTAAATTTGTCCCATTCTTCCTGCAAAAAAATCTTAAGGTAGGCAACAGTACATGGTCTTTATTGTTGCATTTTGTGCTCAAAATGTGCCACACATACTCTCTTGGAGACAGGTGGGGACTACAAACAGGCCAGTCAAGTAAATCCTTTTCCTCTGCAGCCAGGACTCTGTAATGTGTACAGAATGTAGTTTTGCATTGTCATGTTGAAATAAGCATGGGCGGCCTTGGTAAAGATATTTTCAGCATATTGTGCTCCAAAATCTCTTTTTTTCTTTTTTGTATCCATGGTGGCCATCACAGAAGTGAAAGTTACCTTTACTTATTGCTGGTAACAGTCTGGATGATCCTGTTCATCTTTGGTCCTGAGCACACAGTATTTCAGGTATTTTTTGGAAGAAATGGACACTCATCTGACCACAGCATACATTTTCACTGTATGATTGTCCATGGCTCCAAGCCCAGAGAATTTGATGGTGATTCTGCACACTGTTAACATAGGGCTTCCTTTTGGCACACCACTAGTATGGTAGTACTTGACAAAGGTCTGTTAAAGTAGTCCTGAGCCCATGTGGTGAGATGACTTATAGATGAATGACAATTCTTGATGTAGTGTTGCCTGAGGGATTGTAGATCATGGTTGTTCAGCTTAGGCTTGCGCCCTGGTCTAAACATCCAAATGTCTTTTTTTCTTATTTCAATAATTTTCTAATGTATTTGTTGGCAAAATTGGTGATCCTTGGCCCATCTTTGCTAAGAACTAGACCTTTTTTGGATGCTGCTTTTGTACCAAATCATAATTACAATCACCTGTTGACATCACCTGTTTCAAATCACATCATTATTTAACCAATTTAGATGATTATTAGCCCTAAATTGCCCCGTCACAACTTTTTAGAATGTGTTGCAGGTCTGAATGACAGGAAAGGATGTAGCTATATTTACAGATAAAATGAAGTTGACCAGACAAAACATGAAATATTTTGTTTTCATATTGTCTGCAATGAAATACAAGTCAAAGTAACTTTGGAAAGCTTTACTTTTTTTTCTATTTGCATTTTCTATACTGTAACTTTTTTCTGATTTGGGGTTGTACTTTAACATATAAAACATATCTTATATAACATCTTATTTTATTTTTTATTTATTCCAAAAATAATGTACTTTAATATACAATATCAGTTCTTAGTGTCTTAACAGACAAAATCTATTACGGTGTTACAGATGCTCAGATATTGAACACTGTCAGCATCAGTTTCATAAAAGATGCATCATTTTCAACTTCTACCATTTACCATCTTGTTTAAGTGTCCATTCAATCAACCTCACAGTCTCGAGTGATTAAAGGAATGGCCGTTTTCAATCCTCCACATTCAGCGCTGCTGGCCTTCAGCTCAACACGTCCACAAAAAAGCCTGGCCTTACTTTTCTGTTATGTCTCTAGGGGGCAACATCACACTCTTTGTCCCCCCTTACAAAATGATGAAATATTGATTGGCAAAAAGGCTTTTGGAGGCAGCATACGGATGTGGCATCAGTGGCATAGCCGAGCAATAAGTCTAAAGGCACACATAACCACCTTAAACAAGGTGAGGACGGAAATTGCCCGTGTTTGACATAAAATAACTTAACAAATAACCATCAAAACCAAAATATTTGTCTGAAATGCCTTCTGACAGGAAAGACGCTTCAAAACTTCATAGCTTACATCTCAGCGGCCAATTCGTGTTATGCTATTCATCGTAAAATTTTTACATCATTTGACAAAGTCTAAAGGAATGCCTCATTAAAAGCTCAAATATTCTTATCTGGCTTCGGAATACATCGTGGATTCACTTTGATAAGACTTGAATGACTAAGATCTCGCGAGCAAAGAGGCTAACTTATGGTATGATTATAAAGTGACGTCTCAACCTACGCCACTTGTCAGAAACTAGTTAACTTTGGCTTGGAGCAAGAAGCAAATTGATTCCTAAAAGAGAAAGAAGAGATCGATACAGCACTTACAGGCGAGGGAAAGATAAGTATTTTCAGGGCTTTGCAGATTGATTGACAGTGTGATGTAGCCTATGGTTATTAGGAAAGACTTTTTGTTGTTCTAAATCAAATAATTTATGTTCTTGATGTGGGCATATGGTAACATTGTGTGCCCCTTAATAATGTTAGTTGTAATATAGAGGTGAAATATAGGCTAAATCCTTGCACACTGTGATTTGTATTGTCTGGTTTCAAGGTTTTTGACTGACATGAATAAATGGTCTATTGTTTTATGGTTTTCTGAATGTGGACACAATTTTTTAAATAAGCAAACTTTTATTAAATTGATTTATCTTAACTAGTTTTAAATGTTTTAGTAATTCATATTATATAAAATAGTATATTAAATAAAAATACAAAAAAATGTGTATAACTATCATCCAAAAATATCAAACTTCTTTACAAAATTGCTTAAGTGTTCTCACTTGAACACTCTCACAGTGTTCAAACTCTTTATTAAGAAAATCAATACTAAAAACAAGTTTAAATATATATATATATATATATATATATATATATATATATATATATATATATATATATATATATATATATATATATATATTAGTTTCAGCAACAAGAGAAAATAAGTCGATTTTTTAAATCTTATTTTGAGTGTTGTCTGAAATATTTTAAATATTTTCTTTAATATTGGAAATATTAAAATAGGTTGCATTTACATTTTAAATGTAGTTTTTTATTTCCCATTTGTACAGTTTAACTAAAAAAAATAAACTTTAAATTATATTTATTATAAAATTTTAAATAATGAGGATTATATTTATTGATTATATTTATTGCATTTAACTAAAAATGTTTAATTAAAATAATGATTTCGTGCTGTTTTGTTTTATGGCTTTAGTTTTAAACTTTCTTGAATTATTCATAGCAAGAAAAGTCTTGATGGTCTTCAAAATAATTTTTATTGTCTTTTTATCAAAAAACATAATATGCAAATATAAAAGTTACTAATACACAGACAACTTTACAAAACAAGTTATATTGCACTTTAATGCACAAAACAGCAGATAAACATGGAATAAGACAATATCACATTTTACATCACATACATTTTTGAAGAACAATTTCTTTACAACTTTGCTTCAGTATCTTTAGTCTCTTCACTTAAAAAAATATTAATATAAGTAAAACTGTAGTCATTTATGATATATAATGCATATGGTTTTCCTCAATCCCGTTACAATCCACTCCGAAATTCGTGTTTCCATCACAAACACTTTAACAAGAAAAAGTTGCAGAGAGCCCCGCGCGGACAGTCGCACATCTTGCCGATTCGAGAGCCTTTTCTGATCGCGCACTGCTCGCCCAAATCACACTAGCGAGAGAAAACAGCAGAGATCAGATTACTGAAAAGCGCACTTGTTTATAGAATATCCTATCTATCTATCTATCTATCTATCTATCTATCTATCTATCTATCTATCTATCTATCTATCTATCTATCTATCTATCTATCTATCTATCTATCTATCTATCTATCTATCTATCTATCTATCTATCTATCTATCTATCTATCTATCTATCTGAAAATATATGAACATTCAACAATGAAAAAGTGTTTATCAATTATTAAAGATCGTGTAACCTGTGAACAGTTGCGTGAGCGCGTAAAAGCGCACTTGTTTATTGGCATATACGTGGAAAAAATTAGATCGTAAAATATTAGAGAGCTGCATCCAACAATATGATTTATTATTAAAGAAATCGATTTATCAACTGCCTAACAAGCATTGGAATATCCAAAACACATTGCAAATACATGTAAAAATGTGGAAATTTCGCCTTAAATAGTAATTTATCCCCGATTTAAGTAATATAAACATTGTATTGGTATAAATTAATGAGTTTAGGTTGGTTAAAACTTGTTAAATTAGATGTTACCGGCTTAAATGTACACACAAAAGCGCAGTGCCAGTACAATGGCCATGTAGCCAAAACAATCTACATGCAGTTATATGCTAATTATGAATAAAATATGTAACATAAATATACCATGGGGACTTGACCAAACTTCTTCTCCCAAGGTGGAATTCGTTTCGTCTGCAGCTTTTCCAGAACTTCTTGCAGAGCCCCGAGCTGGTTTAACAAAACAGTTTAAATGATTCCTTTTAATCTCTTTAGTCACTGTATAACATACCACATTTCACATAGCAAGAACAAAAACTTCTAGCACTGTATATAAATGCACCACTGCACAATAAAAGATGCAGCACTCACAAGCTGTTTTTCGCTGTTTAGGTTTGGGTCTTTGGGGTAGAAGTCTCTGATGGCTCTTGTGTCCAGTTCCACTTCAATCTCCGGCTCGGACTCGTTCGCTCTCGCTCCGGTCAACAAGCAGACCAGCAGCGCGCACACTGCCATGCGCATCCTCAGACTGGAGCTCTCCATGGTCCTGAATGCAGGGAGCTTTGGCACCTGAGCGCGCAACGCTGATATACGTCTCTAATAAAAGTTTTGGCGCAAATAAGCATCTCGACAGTCTTGCACGCTTTTATGTGCTCCACGGTGCATGCATTTATGGGATCTGTTGTCGCCCCGCCTTTAACATTGATTTGGTTGCGCACGTAAGCGCGATCATTCATTGCGTAAATGCGCTGGAGACAAGTCATCAAATGCGTTAATGTTGCCCCCGGAATGTTTTATTTCCAACTTGACTAAGGACACATCCGTCTGCGAGTTTGGATTCAGTGGAGAACAAGATGAGCAAATAAAAAAACTGCAGGCGCTGCTGATTGTATAAGAGCTGCTTTTCAACACTTTGGAGCACTTTGGAAAACATGCACGGCTGTTTCAGATTGCATAACACTTTGCACAGAGACGTAACACATTTTATTTGAATAGTCATTTATGTCATTTGAATGTAATGTTTATAATATAATATAATATAATATAATATAATATAATATAATATAATATAATATAATATAATATAATATAATATAATATAATTCAACCATTAAACAATAATTATTCATTAATAATATGGTGTTGCCTGTGCCATTAGCATTTGCGTTGGTACATCTGTAGATGGTTGCTGCACATTATTTATGTTTATTAATAAATACATATATTTAGAGACATCTCTCAAAGATGTTACTATTGCTGGATATCACACAGGCATCAATAGACTTTCTCTCAGTAGACATCACCGGTCTCTCACAGACATCTGCACATCATTGGTCTCTTATAGACATCACTAGTCCTTCATTGGACATCACAGACATCACTAGTCTCTCGCTGGACATCACTAGTCGCTCGCTGGACATCACTAGTCCTTTATTGGACATCAGTCTCTCACAGACATCACTAGTCTCTCACTGGACATCACTAATCTCTCGCTGGACATCATTAATCCTTTATTGGATATCAGTCCCTCACAGACATCACTAACCTCTCACTGGACATCACAGACATCACTAATTTCTCACAGACATTACTAGTCTCTTTCTGGACATCACAGACATCACTAGTCTCTCGCTGGACATCACTAGTCCTTTACTGGACATCAGTCTCTCACAGACATCACTAGTCTCTCACTGACCATCACTAATCTCTCGCTGGACATCACTAATTCTTTATTGGATATCAGTACTTCACAGACATCACTAACCTCTCACTGGACATCACAGACATCACTAATTTTTTTTACAGACATTACTAGTCTCTCACTGGTGATCACTAGTCCCTTATTGTACATCAGTCTCTCACAGACATCACTAGTCTCTCACTGGACATCACTTGTCCTTCATTGGACGTCACAGGCGTCACTAGTCTCTCGCTGGACTTCACTAGTTCTTTATTGGATATCAGTCTCTCACAGACATCACTAGTCTCTCACTGGACATCACTAGTCTCTTGCTGGACATCACTATTCCTTTATTGTACATCAGTCTCTAACAGACATCACTAGTCTCTCACTGGACATCACTAGTCTTTCGCTGGACATCACTACTCCATTATTGTACATCAGTATCTCACAAACATCACTAGTCTCTTGCTGGACATCACTAGTCCCTTATTGTACATCAGTCTCTCACAGACATCACTAGTCTCTTGCTGGACATCACTAGTCTGTCATTGGACATCACTAGTCTCTCACTGGACATCACTAGTGTCTCACTGGACATCACAAACATAAATAGTCTCTCACTGGACATCACTAGTCTCTCACTGGACATCACTAGTGTCTCACTGGACATAGTCTCTTGCTGGACATCACTAGTCCTTTATTGTACATCAGTCTCTCACAGACATCACTAGTCTCTCACTGGACATCACAAACATAAATAGTCTCTCACTGGACATCACTAGTCCTTCATTGGGAATCACAGACATCACTAGTCTCTCACTAGACATCACAAGTCCTTTATTGGACAGCAGTCTCTCACAGACATAACTGGACATCACAGACATCACTAGTCTCTCGCTGGACATCAGTAGTCTCTCTCTCTCTCTGGTCTGCTGTGATCTTGATCTGCACTTCTTCATTGACTGTAGTTTCTTAACCAGAACTTTGTCACTAAGAGTTTTTTCAATCAGGTTGATATCAGGACTCTGAGCTGCCTTTTCACAGATTTTTTTTTTCAGGCTTTTTAGCATCAAGGGACAGCAGAATGTTATTTTGAACTTTGAACAGAGCAGATTCACTACTATGACTGATTGGAATTTCTCAAAGAAGTGATTTCTTTCAAGAAAGGAGTGCAGCTGTATTAAAATGACTTTTTCTAAAACCTTGGATAAAAAGGGTATACAGGTGAGACACTGGTCTAAAGTTTTACAAAACCGCAGGATCAAGATTGAGTTTTTTGAGAAGAGGCCTGAACACAGCATGCTTAAAAACAGTCGGGACAGTCTTTAATTAAAGCAGCTATTAATGAATGACAAAAAAACAAGGTCCTGCCTTGCTAAAAACCTGTTTTAGCACCCTATGGAATAATGTCCAATGGACGGTTTGCTTCAAAGACATTGATGCTTCACAGAAAAAGTTTGTCCAGTCATTTGATACTTTCTGCTGATACAGGTTTAGACATTGCAGATCCTTTACCCTGCTCAGAGCATTTGTATTTCATATACAATCCTCTTTTTAGGAGGTGGATTTGAATAAGGGAGTAACATTTGTGGAAATGCTATAGAAATCAAATCTAGAATGAGCAACTTCTTTTTCTGTGGCTGAAATGCTTGTCGCTTTTGGCCTTCATCTGAGAAACCTGCTCTCGGGGCATTTCAGTCACTTTAGAGTGGCTCACAATCTTGCAAATCTGGAAAGTTAGACTGACATTAAAACAGGGTTAACCTCCAGCTGTCATAATAAAAAACAATAACTGGGAAGATCTGAAAGTGCTTAAATCATGATCAGTGCTAGTTTTCTAAAAAAAAAAATTAAGTTTCATATTGTGCTTCAGAACAAATGTAAAATATATTAAATAAAATAATTAAAATACATAAAATATAGTTAAAATCTGGCTGTGCGATGGCACAGTAAGTAGCGATGTTGCCTCACAGCAAGAAGGTCGCTGGTTTGAGCCTCTGCTGGGTCAATTGGCGTTTCTGTGTGGAGTTTGCATGTTCTCCCTGTGTTGGTGTGGGTTTCCTTCGGGTGCTCTGGTTTTCCCCACAGTCCAAAGACATGCAGTAGCTGAATTGGGCCAGTTAAATTGTCCGTAGTATATGTGTGTGAACAAGAGTGTATGGGTGTTTCCAGGTGATGGGTTGCAGCTGGAAGGGAATTCACTGCGTAAAACATATGCTAGATGGCGGTTCAATACACTGTAGCGATCCCTGATTAATAAAGGGACTAAGCCAAAAAAAGTGAATGAATGAATATTTAAAATCTGATATTTAACTTCTGCCTGTCTTATCAATCATTCATCTATCTACCTATACACCTGTCCATCTCTCTGTCTGTCTATTTCTAATCTGTCTGTATGACTGTTTAATTCTATTTTGTGTGTGTGTGTTATATACAGTGTTAATGAATCATTTCTGCACATCAGAATATAAATACAGATGCTTCCCTCATGCGAGGATGTAAGGGGGCTCCTAATGTTACAGTAATTATACCAGATGTATCTTTACCCAACGTTTAATTTGAAATGCATTCATCAACGTTAACGAAAATGATCTGGTTGCATAATTAAATGTGAAGTAATTGATTCTTTCAGCTGTAAAATACCTAAACTTTTCAGAAACTTCACATGAGGACTCGAGAGGAAGTTGCTTATTAAAGGTTTCAAGAAAAAAAACGTAATAATTTTCACGTTTATGTTTAATTGCTAGGGGCCAGGAGCCATCTGCACTCTGAAAGTGTAGACACCCAGCTATTTAAGCTTGTCTAGACTTATCTAAGCCTCGCTGGAAAGTGAATGGGGATTTTTATTTCATAAAAATAGAAACAAGTTTTCCAATGAAACTTGTTCTAGGATAGATGTAATAGGTTAATATTTTTGCCCATCTGTAACGTCATGTGTAGAGGACATTATTATGAGGTTGAATTTGATAGGCTATTTGTGCACGAGCAGATCAAATAATTTCTGCCCAACAACATTCACATTATCCGTGAATTTGAGGAACACATATTTAGGGTGTTAGATTCATTTGTGGATATAAAGTGCATTTCCTGTATGCTATATGCCTGGGATTAACCGGCAAAAGAGTTCTATCTAAAGGTGATGCTTTTTAATTTCCCAACAGGACCCTTTATCAACGGGTGTGAGGCATATGACTCATTCTCTTTAGTCTACATTTATATCAAAACCTAACCGATCAATGGCAAACACACCAAGGTTTTTTTATTATTATTATTCAGTCAATATTCTAGTTCTGTTTTAAAAATAGCTGAGAGCTTTTTAAAAACACCTTGTAATTCACTTTTGTATTTTTTTCTGATGGAAAATTCCCTACGTTCTAAATGAGAATGTATATAGAACAAAATAATGTGTAGTGGGAATAAACTAACTGGAAAGATCTGGCCTATAACCCCTGCCAATGAGTTTATAAATCAAACAATGTGGTGAGCAAACTTGTTCTTCTTGAATGGATCGGAAATAGAGGTTATGGGTGAATGAAAACCATTCTCATGTGTGCAACATGTTTCCAAACCCCCATTAAAAATATATACACCAGATAAGCTTAAGATTCACATGCACATGATATCACAAACAATCACACTCAACGTGACTCTCGGTTTTGATTTTTGGAGCTTTATTAAATGCAATCACTCTCTTGTTTAGTCAGAGTTCACAGAAGTGGTCCACAGTGGATTTTTAAGGCTTGGTTGTGTTTCTAAGATGCAAAGCAATGTGTGCTCATGCTTCACTTGTACAAAATCATATTATTTTTTTCGTATATCTTTCTTTGATTATATACAGCTATTCAACTAACATGGAAACGACTATCATATTTCCTAGTTTCTCAAAAAAGGCCCACCCTCAACAGGCTCTGATTGGTCAGTTAACATGATGTGTTC